GTAAATAATTAGTCGTATTCACTGTAATGTCTTCCAGTGGTTTGTTTGTGACTACTGTTTTGAAGCCTAGTTTGTCATTTTGGCCATTACCATCTTGTTTTATGGAATTATGGAGAAAATTCGATTGTTAAACAGGACAGTTTTAGGCAACCAAAATGTAACTTTCATTAATGAAAACACACTTTAAAAGAGTTCAAATTCTAAGACGTTAACACAGAAAACACCCAAATATAGTACAGTGTGGTAGAGACCTGTCTAGCACTACCCACATTGTCTTTTCTTTTATTAAATGGGTCCAAATTTACAATAATAACATTATGGCGTATTGTAGGAGCATTGAAACCAGTGATTGAGACCATAAACTCATGAGGAAAAAATATTGACTGAAGTGATACATCCAGTCAGAAGTGGGGTCATTGGATTTGCACCCTGCGGTAATCCCTTCAAATCTCATTATTACTATGTCTTACTTGTGTGGAACAAATAACATTGTTTAGGATTTCACAACAATTTAATATAATGAATGGTTCAACTGCTTAATACTCCCAGATTGTCTGGTTTTGAGAACGTTTCAGGATGTTATATTAGGCATTTTGCTTTATATACTTTTGACAGCAGCAACTGACAGAAAAAAATGTGTCTGAGGGACATGGTACAAAGGTTCAATCTCAAACCGAGGACATGGCATCTCAGTCTGCTGAGCCACAAACAGGGGTGTTTCTACTGAGTTACTGCTGCTAACTTATATATAACTCTCTATTTGTTTCAGGGATGCCAATAGATCTGGTATAGGGATACTGACGGCTGTTTCTTTTTCCAGTTGGAAATATAACCAACCAATCAGACCTCGATAGATGCAACTTAGTCCCATTCCAGTGCCAGAAATGTGGCAACAGAAAAATGTGTAGAGGAGAAACACACAGCCAGACAGCTAGTTAGTCAACCTCTGATCCACATAACAAAAATCCAATTAATCAGTCCTCGTTCTAAATAAATAAATGAAACTGCTCATATAAACCACCACCGCCAATGTCACTACTATGAGGGAAGAATAACTTATAAGAAAGCAGATCAAATAAACAGTCTATTCACAGTACAGTTTGTAAACCAGGTTACACAATGTCTCATCTTTAGCTGGTGACATTTTCTTTTTTTATTAAGCAAGGGTTAGGGTTAGTGAAAAGACCAAGGACAACAATTGTAGCCAAAGTCTGGTGTGGCTGATATGAATCCGCCCCTAAAGTAGCATCATATCTAGGCATCGCTTGTTCTGGTTCCGAGATGTACATGAACAGCAGCCCTTATCCTTAAATTACACAAGTGTAAGTTAATGAGGGGAAAGATCTGAGAATGGAGTTGTGAAAAGAGAACCTCTGTGGAGTAGCATCAGAGCAGCTTGCCATTATGTAAGGAGGATTTAAGTAGAATTTCTAGACTCAAAACAGAACAAGCAGCACATCTTTAAATCCAGTTCTCACATTTCGTGAGATTTAGTCTTGTCACAGACTCGACACACACTCTTGATGTATAATTCCACGTCACACCAAAGTAAATCTTCTCAACATCACTAGATGCTCTCTCTTTCTCTCTGTCTCTCTTTTCATCCATCCATCCATCTTTTTTATCAAGAACTGATTATTAATGCCTTCAAACCATTTTTAAGTAAATCGCAAGTTATTTTTGGTATTTTATAAAAACTGGTACTTTATCTTCTTCTTTGAGCATCCAGATGCCACAGTTCGCATAATAACGAGGTCTAATGTCGAAATGCGTCTCGATTGAACTAAACTCGGTTTGGCTTGTTCTCCTGTTGACGGATGAAACCAAACAAGCAACAATGTGTAAGGAGAGAGAGAGGCAGCAGGCAGCTGTTTACTGTGTGAAAGCTCTGATAAAAACCCTTTGCTCTAAAACAGCAGACAAAGCCTCCGACCAGCAGGTGAACATAGTGGCACAATAAAGTCGCAATAGACAAGTGTTTGAGTTGAAGTTATTATTTTCAACAGCCATAATGTAATGGCTGTTGAAAAAAAAGACTTTAGGTGTTGAAAATGGTTATCCATTGCGCAACCAAAAGAGGAAGAGCCAGAAGAAAGGCTAATGCTAATGTTGCTCTTGTTTCATACCAACTCTCACACCAAGACTGGCCAGTGTGTAAATCAGTCAGGGTGTCTCACCTTTTTATTTTCTTAAGCCCTATTCCCACAGGACTAGTAGAACCTGGAGACCTCAGGTCATTTGTAATAATACATGAACTTCTGTTATATTACCCGTGTGAAAATCAAGAACAATTCCACTGCATATCCACTACAACATATAGTCATATTAATACTATGTGAATTGGCCAAATTATGATCTTAGATCCGTGTTGTTTTTCTTTCTCTTTTGTATTGCTTGCTTCCCTGTTAATAAAATATGAAGTTGGTCATGATAAAGGAAAGATTGACATTAATTGAAGTTTAAATTCAGGAGGCTCATCTTGCTACACAGCATGGAGACT